CCAGCCACGGCCACGAGCGGGTGGTCGACCTGCTGCTGCAGCGAGGAGCAGGGAATAACCTGCAGAGCAGCAACGGCGACACCGCGCTGATGCGCGCCGCCATCAACGGCCACGAGCGGGTGGTCGAGCTGCTGCTGCAGCACGGCGCTGAGGTCGACCTGCAGAACAGCGACGGCTTCACCGCGCTGAAGCTCGCTGCTAAGTACGGCCACGAGCGGGTGGTCGAGGTGCTGCTACGGCGCGGGTGGTTGCCAATGGCATTCTACTGGACGATTATGCTTATTACTGCTGGCCTGACCCTGGTATACCTGACGATTACGGCCCTGGTGGTTTACGCCTGCAGCTTTCTATGGCGGTTGTTCTCCGAGCACGGTCGGAGGGGGCGCCCGCACTGGCTGCGTCGAACGGCGCGAGAGCGCGCCATGGCCTTGCTGTTTTCCGACATGACCGCGCTCTCCGGTTGGTGCTTCCGCGCTCACTTGTTGTTTGCTTTCCTCCCCTGTGTGGTCTGGGGGTGGGCCAATACCTTGCTTCGGACTTTGGTGGGCGTTGTTCGGCCCTTGGATGCGAGAGCAGCGGAACCGGCGCGAGGCCAGCGAGGGCGGCAACGAAGGCGTGGGGGGGGTGCGGAGGCAGACGCTGAGGCGGAGGCGGCGCGAGAGTGCGCCCGGCTCGAGGAGAGGGCGAGGCAGGAGCAGCGAGAGGCGCGGCGAGCGGAGGCGGAGGCGGCCAAAGAGGCCAAGGATGCGAGGCGGCGAGAGGCGGAGCGCCGGGCGGCGGCGAAGGCGGCGGCGGCGGCCGAGGCCAACCGGCAGATGGCCAAGGCGCGCGATGCTGCGGAGAACCCTCCTGCGCCGGTGGAGCTGGGCGCCGAAGAGGTGTGTGAGTTGAGACAGGAGCCGTTGCCTCGCTGTTCCTCCCCAGCCACGGTTGCCGGCACGCCTCTGTAGGTGCTCAGTGCGCTCGAAGCGGCGGTGGAGGTTGGGCGCGGCGGCTTCGGCGTCGTCTATGCGGTTGAGCTGCCTTCGCTGCCGGGCTGGGGCCGCGTCGCCGTCAAGCGAGCCCTCTCAGGGGTGGATGCGAGGGAGGTGATGGCCGAGGTGTCCAACTTGCGGAGGTGCGCGCACCGGGACGTATTGCCGCTACTCGGCTACTGCGGCGCGCCACGTGCGGCTTGCATCGTGACGGCGCTCATGCGAGGCGGCTCGCTCGATGACCACCTCCTGCTCTCGCCCGACGCGCGGGCGCGGCTGCAGAAGCTCGGCTTCAAGGGCACTCCGGGCCTGTCGTGGTCGCAACGACTCTCGGCGCTCTGCGACGCAGCGAGGGCGCTGGTGCACCTCCACTCGAACAGCATTCTCCACCGCGACGTGAAGACGGCCAACATCCTGCTCGACGGCGCGCTGCTGCCGCTGCATACGGCGGGGGGCGATAGGCGCGTCTACCCCGAGATCACCCGAGATTGCCCTAGGTTGCTCCAGATCGCTCGAGAGCTCCACTGATTAGGCGCGTCTACCGCGCCTTCCTCTCCGATGTCGGTCTCGCCAAGGAGCGGGCGGGCGGCTCGATGACCATGGCGACCAATGCTACCAGCGCCTTCTACTCGACCGGCTTCGCGGACCCGAACTTCCTCGACTCGAACCAGCACTCGGCCAAGACGGACACGTACGGGCTCGGCATCTCGCTGCTGATGGCGTTGACGGGCGGCGAGCCGTCCAGAGGCCTCAGGAGCGCGTACGAGGACGACGTCTTGGACATGGTCGCTGGCAAGGAGGGCGCCGGCGGCGGGCTGCTGCATGCGGCGAGGCGGGCGGCCCACTGGCCTCAGGCGGCGACGCGAGAGCTGGTCAAGGCTGTGCACGGCCTCGTCTACGAGCGAAAGTCGCAACGCTTGCCTCTGCCAGAGGCGCTGGCGGCGTTCGAGGCGGCGTTGCGCTTCGGTGGCGATGACGACGGTGGCGCGGATGCTGGAGCGGCGGCCGCGGCGGCGCTGGTTGCGGCCGAAAGACCGACGGCGTCCGGCGCCGGTTTCTCGGCCACATCCAGCGGTGCCTCGGCCAGCGCTTCGTCGTCGTCTGGGGGCGGCTCTGCGCCCGGCTCTCTGACGCGCGCGGTCGGCGGGCTGCACAAGGAATACGTGGCGGGCGGCGGCGATGCGTCCTTGGCGCGGCTGCAGGATCGGATCAGCAACGCGTACCTGTCCATGATGGGGCATCTCGAGCGGCGGCACGAGCAACGGGGAGGCGCGCCACTGCCCAAGGGCAGCAGCGAGGAGGAGAAGATCAACGCGCTTGCGCTGCGCAGCGCCGGGCAGTCGCAGCTCTGCGACTCCGCGCACACCCTGCGGCGCTGGTACAATGCGTGCAGGCACGAGCGAGGCCAGTGGAGCGTGGGTGCGCGGCCGAGTGACAAGGAGGTGGCGCGGGTGATTGAGAGGATCAGGGGGCTGCTGGACTCGGAGCGGGCCCAGCGGGCGTAGTCCGGTTTGGGTATAGCCTATACACGTATGGGGCGCTCTCTCCTGCATGTCCATGTTTGTACGCGTGAGTCATTCAGAAACCACCCATATCATGATTAATAACACTCAACAATGTATCACGCGCCCACTCTACCCCGGTCCGGCGAGTCAAACCATGGCCCCGCGACGTCACCCAATAACCTCCCTCGGCTTCACACAAAACAGGACGACGAGGCGAAGGCCAACGCGTGGCTGGACGCCAACGCTGATGGCTGTCCCCTCCCATCCCAGGTGCTCGCGAGCTAAATTTATGAGCCCAACACGCAACGGCGTACCTCTGCCGTATCCAATTGGAATCGCGCCGCTCAACTTACACAGATGGTGGGTTGGTATGAACTTGGCGTATTAACCCTCGTACGCAGAAGATGGTTTTACCTGATTTTGGCGCTCCCGCGGTAGTGTCCGTGTCATGGGCCTGAGCGGCGCCTGATGCAGCGGAGGCGAGAGGTTGGGGTGCAGGGCGGGGTGGTGGCGGTGATCCTAGATGTAGATCTCGCCGCGTGAGTGTACTATGCAGAGCGCGAGCGTCGTTGACATAGCACTCGCACACGAGTCTCACGACGCGGTATGCTTACGGTATGCGCCGGGGAGAGAAAAGGGGGATGAAAGCCGACGAGGGACGAGCCGCCGCGATATCAAAATACAAGAGACGGCAGTCGGAAGAGAACGGAACTGCGTTGTGGGTGGGGACGAAGTGCCAGTACTAGCCACGGTAAATTTTGCGATCAGATCTGTCCCGCCGTACACCCGTGTCTGTCGGGCGTAAGACTCAGAGAAAGCCTGCTAGGTCTTTTCCACGACACCGCAGCACAGAATTTCCCGCCAGAAAGGCTTGTTCGTTGCCCCCTCCCCGCGCCGATGGCGGCATCGAGCGCGCCACACCCCTCGGAGCTGTGCAGCCAGTGCTCCATACCGATTGAGTTCGACGAGGATGAGTTCCTTGTGGACATGTGTGTCGCATGCGACCGCGTGCGGCACCGCCGTCTTAGCGCCGAGAGGCGGCGCTCCTCCGATGCCTGCAGCCCGGACTCGGTGATGGCCGCCGGGTTCGAGGGTCTGTCGGTCGAAGCGAAGAGCGCTGCGACTGGGCAGACGGTTGAGTTTGCACCTCCAAAGACGACATTTGTCTTCGGTGCTGAGCCGACTGCGCAGCGGCCGCCTGTGCCGACCCAGTGGCAGCTGAGGGTCTCTGGGCTACACCCGGACGTCAGCGCGATGCAGGTGCGTGCGAAGTTCTCGCCGTTTGGCGAGCTACTGCAGGTAACGCTGATGAAGGACCCAACGAGCAAGATGATGAACTACCGGCTGGCCAACATGGCCAACATCGTGTACGCTGACCCAGCGAACGCCAAGGAGGCACAGCTGCAGATGCATGACTTCGAGCTGTCCTTTCCTGGCGTTAACTATGGCTACGGCTTTAGAATCAGCTGCAAGCTCGTCCAGGAGGCGGAGACCGTCAAACAACCCATTTCGCGAGGAGCGTGGAAGCCGAAGCGGTTCCGCCGGCCCGCGCGCGCGGCGCCTGCACCCGCAGCGGCTGGACCAGCTGCGGCGGAGGCGAAGGCGACGGGTGCCGCAGCAGAGGCACCGACAGCGGAGGCGGCAAACGCGACAGAGACGGCGGCGCAGCAGCCGGCAGAGGCTGCTGCCGCGCCACCCCCTCCACCCGCCGACGCGTCGCCCCGCGAGGCGGCGCCGTCGCCCGCGATCTGCTCCGAGACCAACCGGCAGGCGGCGGAGGAATGGCTCGACAAGGCGCGGAAGCGGCACGAGGCGGGCGACGACGCGGCCGCGCTGCGCTTCTGCGAGAAGAGCCTGCGGCTGCACGAGGGCAACGAGGCCGCGGCGCAGCTCGCCGCGCACCTGCGCAAGTTCGGCGCGGGGACGCCGATGGCCGAGGCGGCGGCGCGCGTGCTGAAGCTGGGGCCCAGGGAGAACGCCGCGGTGCTGCAGCTCAGCGCGACGCAGGCGGCCAGCGCGGACGCGGTGCGCGCCGCGTACCGGAAGCTCGCGCTACTACTCCATCCCGACAAGAACCAGGCGCGCCAGGCGGAGGCGGCGTTCAAGCGGCTGCAGGTGGCCTACGAGGCCCTGAGCGCACAAGCCTCTGGCACTGGCGGCGGTGGCGGACCCAGCACCAGACCAAGCGGCGGCAGCAGCGGTGGCAGCAGCCGCGGTGAGTACAGCGACGAGGAGTGCTTCTGCACCCGGTGCGGCGAATACTGCGAGTACGGAGAGGAGCTGTGCGAGGAGTGCGCGGAGGAGGAGGAACGCGATCGCGCTTTTGAGGCGGCGTATCGGCGCGGACGAGGCGCGTCCTCGCACGCATACAGCTCGCACACGTCCCGGTGCTACGACTGCGGCCGCCCGTACTCGCCGCCAGCGTCGTACTGCGGCTCCAAGCCCATGTGTTGGGACTGTCGCGACGGGTACGATTCTGACGACGATTATGGACGGTATGGTGGGTATCGGTATGGCTTTTATTGAATTCATTCTCGCCACCCAGGCCTCGCGTATCACTCAATCGTCAAACCCACCTCCGACGAGCCGCTCAAAAACTCGGCATCCACGGATCCGTAGACCGTAGAGTATACCGCGTACAACCTAAAACACCCACGTACTCGCTGTCGCTCGCACGTAACCGACAGAGCTGTGCTCAAAGTTCCAGGCGCTCGATCCGCTCGCAGTCCGGCTCCTTCGCCGGAGCAATCAGCGGTGAGTCGCCCAGCGACAGGCAGAGGGGCGACGGTGGGCGCGCCGCCGTCGGCCCGCCCTTTGGCTCCACGATCGGCGGGCGGCGGTCGATCCTCGGCGCAAACCGCGGCGGGCACGCGCAGCCGCACGATGAAGCGACCGGGCCGCCGCTCCGCTCGCGGAGCCGCACGATGAAGGGAGCGGCTGCATGGCGCGCGCAGCCGCGAGCGCCGCGGCGGAGCAGCATGAGCGCCCACTCGCAATGCGGCGTCTCCGACGAGCAGCCGTGAGGACCGCAGAGCCGCGCGAGCTCGTCCTCGTCGAGCGGTGGCATGAGGCTGGGCGGGCACAGGCGCGAGGCGTCGATCGCCGCCATCGTGTGCCCCCAGTTGGCTCGGATGAGCGGTGCGCCGCCGTCCTCGCGGATCGCGAAGCGCTGCTTGGGGAGGTCAACCCTCTCGAGCACCTACTCGCACCCGGGCGGCTCGAGGGGCGCCGCCCTCGCCGGCTCTCGGCCCCTCCGAGCAGAGCAGCCCGGCCGAGGCCCCCCCGACCGCGGCGGCGAGCACCGGCTCCGCCGCCACCCGGCCGCGGATATACTCTGCGACGTCGGCGCAGCCGTCGGCCAAGTCGAGGTCGAGGAGCGCTCCTCCCTGCCCTCCTCCCGCCGGCGGCGGGGCGCGCGGGTTGTGCGAGGTGAGGAGGAAGGTCAGCCAATCGGGAGCGTCCTTCGCGCCCCTCCGGACGAGAGACGCGACGTTGCGCCGCGCCGCGTCTCCGCCGTCGGCGACAGAGACGTCCGCCGCGTCTGCCCCGTCGACGATGAAGAGCAGGCGGCGCCCGTGCGTTGGCCGGAGCCGGCCGAGGAGGCGGAGCAGCGAGCGGAACGCCACCGCGGCGTCGGGCGTCTCGATGATGTGGAGGATCTCGAGCGGCGACGCCAGGGCGGCGCGCTTGAAGGCGGACGTGTAGGGCGACGCGATGAGGCTTGCCGCGACATGCTGCACGAAGGCGCCGGTCGCCGCCGCGTCCCTGTCCGAGATGGAGAAGTGGCAGCCGGCGACGGCGACATTCTTCCACCCGTCCGACTCCTCCTCGCGCCGCCTCGACAGGCCGTGCTGCACGATCGCCCCAGCGAGCGTCGACTTGCCACTCCCCGACGCGCCGCGGAGCAGCAGCAGCCGGGGGCAGTCGGCGGCAGCGAGCATGGCGGCCAGGCGCCGCATCGCCCACAGCCGCGGGACACGAGACGGGCAGAGGCGCGCCCGCAGGTCCGCAATGTGATCGTCGAAGGGCAGAAGGCGGCCGGCGATGTGGCGCCACGAGCGCCGCACCGGCGTCGCTGCGGCCGCCTCTCGCTGCCGGACGAGCGACCACTCCATCCGGAAGACCGACTCGTGCCGCCGCAGGAAGGCGTCGGTGCTGTGCGGAGAGAGGTAGTACACGGGCTGCCGACCACGCAGCACGACCACAAGCAGCACGCACGTGTCGGGCTGAGGCGCATCGGCCACCGGCACGAAGCGGGGCGGCATGATCGCGTCCGGCTCCACCTGCGGGTCGATGAGCTGCGCCGCGGCGTCGATCAGCTTGACCGCAGCGGCGCGCTGAGCCGCGCCGAGCTGGCCGCCGCGTACGATGCCGTCGTCGTCGACGCCAAAGAGGATGGCACCGCCTGCCGAGTTGAGAAACGCGCAGAGGTAGCGCGAGATCTTGTCCTTCAGCACGCGAAGCATGTCATTCTCGGCATCGCGTGTGCCCTTGAACTCGATGGTCTGCGTCTCTTGCCCGAGCGCCTCCCCAAAGCGGTAAGAGTCTTTGACGACCGCTGGGTCTAGCACTGGCATTCGGGCTACTGAGATGCCTGGCACACGATCGGCAGGCTCTGAACGCGAGCGGCGCTCGTGGCTGGCTCGCAGGACACCGAAGAGGTCGGCAGGCATATGGTCGCTGTCCGCCGTCGAGGAGTTCGCTGGGCGCCGTCGCCGTCGAGGAGGCGCTGGGCGCTGTGTTGCCGTCGAGCCGTCGAGGCACTGCTGCTGGTGGTCAACTCATGCCGCGGTGATGAAGTGAAGCGCAGTGGCTGGCTCCTCCATTCACACGTGCAATTTTCTTTCTTTCTTTCTTCCTTTATTTTCCGAGACCTCTTTTCCTCTTTTCTTCCACTCGCCTCGCCGCCTAGTTAAACAACCACGCATGCGCCCTATTCTCGACTATTCACATCCTTCACACTTGCATGTGTTTATGTGTACTTATATGCACCACCGCCAGTTGGCTGCACGTCCCCATCGCAGCCGCCCCCGCTCAGCTCGTCAGTGTCTGCAGCTCGTCCGCCACCTCCTGCAGCTTGGTCTGCAGCTCGGGCCGTCGCCCGACCTCGTCTTGCCACGCCAAGATCGCCGGGTCCACCTCCCCCTCCGAGTCATCTTGGCCCATGAGCGCCGCCTGGTCGCGTTCGCTAGCTGCACCAGCCCCATTGGAGTCATCTCGGGCGACCTGAATATCGCCGTGTCCAGGGCGCCCACGATGGCCGGGATCACCTGCTCCGCCGCCGCACGCGCCCGCCGCTGTTTCCCGGCGTCGCCCGTGACTATGCGTCGCAGCGCGCGTAGTGCCACCTTTAGCAGGTTCCAGGCGTGGGACCCGAGGAGTCTCGAGCTTCAGCTGGTGAACTATCATGCCGCTCTCGGCACAGCAGAAGCGCGAGCGCCGCGCCGCGCAGCGCGCTGCCGAGGCTCAGGACGCGGCTCGCGGGCAGCGCAAGCCGGACGGCGCCGAGCCGGTGCTAGGCCGCCTCCGCTGCGCCTGCTTCCTTGCGCTGGACGTCGGCCGAGAAGACCGCTTCCCTCTGGGGACCCGACTCCGCGAAGACCGCGCGCGCGTCGTGAGTGGCGGCGCGCGCGCGATCTCTGTTCCCGGGCACGCCGGTCGCAGTGGCATGGGCTCCCAGGCTCAAAACAGCGCTCCCGTCAACAGCGAGCGACTGCGAGCGCCGCCTGCTCCTCCTCCCGCCGCCGCTCCACTCGCCGAGACAACTCGGTGCCGCCGTTCTCGCCGCCGCCGCCGCCGCCGCTGCCGCCGCCCTCCATCTCGCGGCGCGTCCCTCTGATGGCGCGGGCGCCTCGCTCGCCGGCGGCCTCGCCGCCGCCCCCCCCCTCTCGCCGCCGCTCCGCTCGTGGCCGCCGCCTCCCCTGTCAATCCCGCCGCCTCCCCTGTCAACCCGCCGCCCGCACCACCGCCGCCACCGGCGCCTCGCGCCTCGCCGCCGCCCGCCACCGCCCTCCCCCGCGCCGCTGAGCGGTGCCCAGGGGGCGAGCCCCCGCTGCGCAGCCTCACCGCAGTGCACTGCGCTCTCCGCGCCCTTGACGTTTGTGAGGAGGTGGTGTTGCACAGCATGGAGCTCGGCGAGCGTTTAGCGAGCCATACGTCCTATCTTTGCCTGGTCTATGAATTCACAGTCCGGGGAAGCCCTCACCGCGCTCGCATCGGCGTGCAGCGCCGGCTCCACAGGTCCCTGCCTCCCTTTGGCACGCTCTTGGCGTAAATGCTCTACGCGGACAAGCGCGCCCTGGAGACCAACCTCCAGGTCTCCCTCCTCAAGATCCGCGAGAAGGAGCTCCAGTTCTACACGCAAAATTGCATCGCCATCGGCACGCAGGCGCGAGGCCCGCGGCGGGGCAGCGGCGAGGAAGAGCGAGCGGCGGGCGCGGACGGGGACGGAGCCATCCCAGCGCGACTCCCGCTCCAGCCACACAGCTCCGGGAGGGGAGGGCGAGACTCCGTGAGCTGCCGCGCCGCCGCCCGCCGCTGACAGCCGCCCGCCCCCCCTGGCGCGCGCTCCGTCGCGGGCAGGCGGCGCTGCTGTCCGGCTTTGCGTACAACGGCATCATCCAGGTGGACATCCCCACCGACCAGAGCGACTGGCTGAAGACGCTCTACCTCTGCGTCACCACCGCCGCGATGGGCTTTGAGCTCATCGCGGTGCTCAACTCGACCCTCTGCTCGATGCTCGGCCCCGGGCTCGCGCTGCGCGGGCCGGACGGGTCGATGCACCGCGCCGTGGACGGGCTGATGCTTGAGTACCGGCTCACCTTCCTCTTCTTCACCGCGGGCCTTGTCATGTTTCACATCTCGGCGCTGCTCTTTGCGTGGCTCGAGTTCTCGTGGCCCGTCGCGCTCGCGATGACGCTCGCCCTGCTCATGTTCATCTACGGCATGTACCGGTACTGGCTGCGAATCTACACGCGCTTCGCCCTCTCGTCCGACCGAATGATCACCGGGAAGTTCGAGTTCGGGGGCGGCGCCGCCGCCGCTGGAGCGACGCGCGACGCGGGCGCGGGCGCGAGCGGCTCCGTGCAATAGAAGCGGAATACACACTCTCGTGTTCCAACCCCGGGCCCAAGACGACCGTCGAGAGCGGACAGACAGTGACGGCAGTCAGGCTTGTGTTTCCGCCCTCTAGGCTCCGTGCCCCTCTCGGACCTCCTGCAAGGCGCGGCCACCTACCACACCACCACGGGACTGAACCCATACTGGATTCGGTACTCTGAAGGTATGGTACTAGGCGGCGTCGCGTCGCACTCTGCCACCACGAGCGCTGACAAGTACCTGACCCGCACCGGCGAGGCGCGCAAGAGTAGCAGTAGGTAGGAGAAACTTTCCCGGACCGGTCCTGGACCTTTCCCGGACTGGTCCTGGACCTTTCCCGGACCGGTCCTGGACCTGTCCCGGACCCCGTTTCCTCTACGTTCCTGTAGGCGCGGAAGATCATCGACGTGGTCGAGCCGCAGCCGAGCCTTCGCGCAGGGGCCAGGCCGCCGCCGGAGGGAGGAGGAGGCGGAGGCGGGTATGGGCAGCAGCAGCAGCAGCAAAAGGAGCAGTGTGTTGTCTCGTGAGACCGCGCGCGGGCGGCTAATGGCCCCCCCTCCCCCCTCCCCTGCCCCATGCCCTGTGTCTGTCTCCTGTTCTTCTGTCGTGGCTCAGTGTCGCGGCTCGCTCCCCGCGCCCCGCCGCCGCAGCATCCGCCGCGCCGGCCTCGCCGTCCCGGTCGCGGCGGGTCGAGCGCTCCCGCAAGCCGGCCTACGCGCGCTTCCCCCGCCTGCTTTCCTGTTTTGTGGCTGCGCTTCCTCGCACACTGGCGAGGCTGCGCGGGCCGGCGGGTGGTCGGTGGTTTTTAGGGAGCCGGGCATCTCTCGCGAGTGGCTTGTGCGAGTCTTGATTATGTCTTTGTGGCATTGGCTACCGTAGTTCCATTTGATTGTAAATAAATTGTAGGGGGGATATGGCCACTTAATTGTTTAGCGGAAAGTGGAGGAACCTCTTCCGGGTGAGGGGTGTCTTCTCCCAAAGTCCAAAGAGCACCACTCTACGCGCCCCATTGCTGGGGCGACGAAGAGGTGCGCAGGAAGAAGGGAGAGCGACGAGGAATGGGAGGCGATGGAGCAACTGCTAGCTGGACGACTACCCGAGCCGAGTGTGATGGACCAGGACCCGCCAGAAGACATCATGAGGGAGTATGACACACGGGTGGTGACTTCACTCAAGGCACTGCAGCAGACGGCGGCATCAATAATCAAAGTACGGGAAGGGAAGAGGAAGGGACTCGAGGCGGAGAGGAAGGAACGAGTAGCCGCGGAAACAGAACGCCTGAGAGAGGGACAGAAGGAAAGGAAGGAGAGGATACGAGAAATGGAGTGGGCGGCGAATGCGTGTATTTGCTGGCGACGGAGGCGACATCGACAACGTGATGCCGAGGAGAAGGAAAGGGAAGAGGCAGAGAGACGCCTCGAAGCGGGGAGAGGCAGAACGACGAGAGCGATGGGGATGACACTCAAAACGACCCACTGCGAGCTCGAAGGCGAAGGCCAGCGCAGGAAACGCGGTGATAGGAACGACGATGCGGCGAGCGCCGGAGGGAAGCGACGACAGCGAGGGGACGAGGACGGCGAGCAGAGAGGAGAACAGACGGCGAGCGGCGCACGCGAGGGCGACCACGCAGGAGAAAACAGACGGGACGAGGGGAAGGAAACGCGGCCCGCCAGGAAGCGAAGGCAGACGGCAAAATACGTCGCCGGACCAGCGACAGGAAGCGCAGGAAAACAAAAAGAACAAGACCAGGAGCATGGAGACGAGGGAAGGCGCGAGGCGCTCCGCCGACAAGCAGCAGAGGCGGCGGCGAAAGTAACGACGGCCATGCTAACGACGGGCGGCACGGTGGAAGGGGCGAAGGTAGGCCCCTCTAGCATAGCGGAAGGGGAACTCGGCCTACTGGCGACGAGGAGGCTAGAGAAATTTGAGGTGTGTAGCATCTACACTGGGGAGATCTTCCGGACAGGAACGGCGCAGCCACCAGAGACAGTACCAGACGAACTATCACGACACACGGCAGCAGGGGGGACGCAGCTGGATGGAAGTGACGACGAGAGCGGGGACGACTTTGACAGCGTCGCGGTGTAACTTCGACTGGCCTGCAGCATCGAATGAGCCGAAACGAGGCACGAGGGCGACGCACTTCGTACGCTACGAGGAGGTACAATTAGGCAAGGCAGCTGCGCAGGTGATGGTCCTGTTTGCAGAGAGGGGAGTCAAGGAAGGCCAAGAAATCACATGGTCATATGGGGACTCATACAGGAGCCACCGCAAGGAGATGGGATACATGCGCTGTGACGCGCGCGCTCATCTTCAACGGAACGGCCCGCCAATCAGCCTCACACGCGTCATAGCACGGACGGCGGGGCACACACACGCGCGCGCGGTTAGGGTTAGGGTTAGGGTTAGGGTTAGGGTTAGGGTTAGGGTTAGTAGGCGCGCGCGCGCGCGCGGAACGCACGGGGCACTGCACACGAGGAGGCGTGACGAGGCTGCGCGGGCCGGCGGGTGGTCGGTGGTTTTTAGGGAGCCGGGCATCTCTCGCGAGTGGCTTGTGCGAGTCTTGATTATGTCTTTGTGGCATTGGCTACCGTAGTTCCATTTGATTGTAAATAAATTGTAGGGGGGATATGGCCACTTAATTGTTTAGCGGAAAGTGGAGGAACCTCTTCCGGGTGAGGGGTGTCTTCTCCCAAAGTCCAAAGAGCACCACTCTTCGGGAGCGCCGCCAGTACCACCCAGAGCGCGTCAAGGTGCAAGCGACGCAAGCGCAGCGGGCCACACCCCGCCGCTCGCGGCTTGGGGCGGACGGCGCGGGGTGCGTGATCTGACATCGGCGTAAAATTCCTCGAAACGGGTCCGGACACATCTGTCATCTCGGGAGATACGGGCACATCCAGCCGCGCAGCCGTGACCGAGCGCCACGTGCCCCATTTGCACCCCATTTCCACCCCGCCTGAGTAGATCAGTCTGCGTAGTGTCCTCCCTTCCCCCAACGCCCCCACGCGCCTTTGGGCCAGCGGCGGAATGTCCTTCTATTCCCACTTGGACGGATCGAAGGCCCACCCTTCGTCAAGCTTTTTCTGGATTTTGTTGCGAAGCGTGACTGGCATGCCACTTGCAAGCTCCTTCACGCTGAGCCTGCCATTACCATCTGCATCGCAATCTGCGAATGTCCTCTCGCGGATTGCTCTACACTTTTGGGAAGACATCGAGAATCTGAATGCGCGCAATGCTTGCTTGAACTCCTCCTTGGTCAGCCCGTCGCCGTTCACGTCAAACTTCATCAATGCTGCCAACACGGGATCTTCCACCTCCAAGCTTCCTTTCGGTCTCTGCGTTTCTTCAGAGTGGCCGCTGCCGTTGCACGAGGAACCGCACGCGCCCATTTGTGCGCCGTCGAGGGACGGCCGCACGGCAGCTACAAAGCCAGTTTGGAACTCGTACGTCCTACAACTCGAATGACTTCGTGGCGCAACGGCAGCGCGTTCGACTTCTGATCGAAAGGTTAGGGGTTCGAATCCCTTCGAGGTTATTTTTTCTCCTTTTCTCTCCCTCTCTCCTTTCCTCTCTCCTTTCCTCTCTCCTTTCCTCTCTCCTTTCCTCTCTCCTTTACTCTGCTGTCCGCGGTTGTAAATAGCGAGGACCCGGGTGTTCTGTCACCCATCAGAGAACCGCACGGCAGTGACTGGGGGAGGCAGGCAGGGCACATCCACTGGCCAATCATATCCCGGCGGGCGACTTGCAGCTCCTTTTAAAGCACGTTTTTACTTTTACCCATCCTCCTCCCGCCTATCCTCCTCGCATCTGCTATGGTCTGCTCAGATCACAGACCATCCCCATCATCTTCCGACTCCATCCCCTCCCCCCCCCGTCGCTCCCGCCGCGCCCCCCGCCGGCGTTCGTGGCGGGACTTCCCGCCCCCTCCCTTTCCAGCACCGCTCCGCAACTCCTCCAGGTCCTCCTCCCAGAGGAGCAGCCGCCCCTCCCTCACCCAATCCTCCCACCCTGGGAACGGAGCAGACCACGCCCGGACCCCACGCCCAGCATGCCAGCCGCACTTTTCAGCCGCACTTTTCAGAATGGGTAACCCTAGTGTTGGGATAGTACACACCGTGTACCAACCTGCTGAAGCTGGCCTCAGCTCACCCGCCGGACCTCCCCCCGCCTGAACATTAGCCGGCCCCATTATGAATCCGACTCTTCCGATACTGCTGACTCATAGCCCCATGTGTAGCTAATTCTCCTATAGAACGTCCGAACTCAGTAGCTATAGAAGTAACTCCGTTTTGACTCTCGAGCAGTTGAGTCGATAGCACGATAGCTGCTCTGTCATGAACGAACAGGCATGCGTTTGTTGGTGTGTGTGTGTTTGCATGTGCATGCACATGTCGTGTTTCCGTGTGCTGTGTGACATTTCCCATCTCATTGCTGCACATGTGATGTACCGGGATCGCCGGATAGCATTCCGCATGTTTTAAGTCATGCATGATGACAGACCGCACGCGCACACATTGCAAGCTGTTATATGCACATCCCCGTACCCCGTAAAGGGGTAGGGCCGGGCACGGGCCGTGCGAAGCGCATCTGCGCTGGTCTCGGGCTGACCGACGGCTAAGGCCGAAATCGTTATTGTTCACACCTCTTGCAGGTGTGAATAGGAGGTGCACAGCGCCCCACCCCCAAAATCCACCAGGTGGGATTCGCGTAATCGCTTGACTCTGAAAGGAGACGTGATGCCTTCATGCGCCCGTCGCGTCGAAATCGAGACATGCGTCGATCTTTGGGGTTTGGCCCGCCAGAGGTACATTAGGCGTTTTGGGCGACAACAGCGCTGTGACCGCGAAGTGGCGGTGGACATGCTCCCATGTTGCCGCCGCGGCGCCGGAGTGGCCGGCGCTGCTCGCCGCGACCACGACGGCTACTCTGATACTCCGGGCCGACCTCCGAGCTCCGTCCTAGTCAGCTGCTGCCCTGCTCCGCTTACACTTCCTGTGTGAACAGCGACACGAATTTTGAACAGCGTTCGTTGAACGATATCGGTGTCGAAACACCGCTCTGACAACGCTCACAGCTGCTGCCATATAATTCTCTCGGCCACACTCGCCTGTCGCCACGCCTCGGCTACATCTTGGCCAGATCGTCTCCCCGGCTGAACCTCGACCGGGATCTCGGCCAGGTCGCGGCTCACGCGTGTGTACCGTTGGGCCACGGGCGGAAGGGCGTGCCGCGAGAGGCCAGCCACCTGTTCACAGGCCTTGTTCTTGATAAGAAACTACCGCCGGCGGCGCTGCGCGCTGGTCTATGAGAGGTTGAGGTGCGAGCCCTGGAGGCCACCGCGCAGTGGAGAGGGACATTGAGTTAACACCCGAAGCTGTGAGGCGACGCGCCGATGTGAAGGGGCAAATGGGGATGGGCATGGGCGGGGCTCCTCTTTGGGGTGGGGCCACAATTCCCAAGGCCCCCCAGGGGGGCGGAGTTTTGGAATTTTCAAATCCCCGGGGGGGGGGGGAAGGGTTCCCCCATTTTGGGGGCCCCCCCCCCCCCCCCCCCCCCGGCACGCTGAACGCAAAGGGGGCTGCTGCACGCTGAACCCAAGTGTGAGGACCCCCCCCCCCCCCCCCAACAACTGTATCGAGGAACTGTTTCGCGCGAGGCAGATCTCGGGCCTTCTCGGCGGATCTCGCGCAATCTCGCGCCGGTAGAGCGCGGCGTTGTGCGGCGCGAAAAAGGCGTCGAGCGTGCCTGTTCACAGAACGCGTTAGAGACGACTCTCTCTCTCCCAACTGTGAACAGTCGTTATCTCTATATGCGCAGCTATTCATGCGGACCACTCCTAGCGTGCAGACCGCGGGAGCTGGTGCCGCGGCCAGTGTAGACCTGGCCTGCGCTGTGACGCGCGCGCTCATCTTCAACGGAACGGCCCGCCAATCAGCCTCACACGCGTCATAGCACGGACGGCGGGGCACACACACGCGCGCGCGGTTAGGGTTAGGGTTAGGGTTAGGGTTAGGGTTAGGGTTAGTAGGCGCGCGCGCGCGCGCGGAACGCACGGGGCACTGCACACGAGGAGGCGTGAGAGCTCGCAAGGGTAGGCATCGGTGCAACAGTCAGAGCGGGCGTCGAGCGTGCCGTTGAGCGCGGCGGAGGCCCGCGCCTTCTCCGCCAGCGTGTTCTTGTTGTGCGTGCGCATGTACGCGGAGGCGGGGATCGCGCGGCGCAGGCCCAGGAAATCCTCGACCCGATGCACCACCGCCTCCGCCGCATCGAACATCTCTTCCGACTGGAGCACTAGCAGCTGCGACGCCGGCCACGCGCGCCCCCACGCCTAATATCGGCCAACCTCGCCTTCTTCCGCAGCGCCGCCTCCTGCGCCTCGGCTGATCTCGGCTAATCTCGGCTCATCTCGCCTCTAGGCCGTGGATGTACACTGCAGAGGTCAGAATACGCATGTCGAAGTCCTCGAGCTGCCGCACGCCGCTCCGCAGCATCTCAATCTTCGAGGCGACCAGCGTGAGCATTTGAGCGTCCCGAGCGGTGGCGCCGCCAGCTGCGCGGCGGATCCTCCCCATCCGCAAGTAGTCGTTGAACGCTGAGACAGTCCGCTCGCGAGGGTTGCGCAGCAGGGCGATGGCTCGCATGGAAGGGAAGGTGGTCCGCAGCTGCGTCGCCGCGAGCCGCTCATGCAGGTAGAAGGGGCAGCCCTCGAACGCGACCTTCTTGTTTTGCGCGCAAAACGGCGCCGAGCGGCGGAGAAGGTCGATCGAGGCCTGCTCGGATGCCGCCAGCTGCTGCTGCTCCGCGGCGCGCTTCGCCAGCCGGTGCACGCTGCCCGCGCCGATCTCCTGCAGCCTCCGCTCGGCGCGGCTGCCGCGGCCGCGGCGGCCGCCCCTGCCCCTGCCACGGCCCTGCCTGCCGGCGCGGCCGCGGCCGCGAGGCAGCGCGACGCCGGCGAGCGCGGCGAGGTAGTGTGGCCAGGACGTGGCAGGGCCGGTGCGGTAGTGCGTCAGGTACCGCTTGAAGCGCGAAAAGTAGCACAGCTCCTTGGTCGCCGGCTGCTGCACGTCGGGGTGCGCCTCGAGGTACCGGAAGAGCGACGTGGAGCCGCACTTTGGCGCTCCGACCACCATGAAGCGCGGGCGGCAGGTGTGCGACCCAGGCCACTCCTGCAGCACCGGTGCCGTCGCGTTGGCACTGAAGGGCGACAGCCAGGACATCGGCCAGGAGCAACCCAAATTCTGGCGGACTTTGTGCAGACTGCCCGTGGGTTTCTTGCCGGCGTCCCTGGGATACCCATCACTGAGCCGACAATGCTACGGGTAGCCCCAGGGTGGCGCCCAACCCCATACCCTCGGGCACTTGCCTGCGCCCTCACGCGCTAGCCCACGCCCTGCCCCGCAAGATCTCACTCCATCCCGGCCTGTGGCATACCTCGGCACCCCCTTGCCACGGAATCTGAGCGTGAAGGAATCTGAGCGTGAGGGAATCTGAGTCGTGGGGGCGGACTTTGCGAGAGAGAAATTTAGGTATCGGATGGCGCTGGGCACTGTCCTCCCATATGTGTCTCACCACACTGTCCGCTCCCCATCCCTCATCCATTACTTTTTTTGACATGGCGCCATGAGGCTTCCCGCCAACGACCTCGTCCTCCGTACAGAGGCTTCTGACGGAGATGGGCCCTCCCACGGCGGTGGGAGTGGTATCAGACAGCGGCCCACCGACTTGTGGGTTCGTGCAAAATTGACTCGAAAAGCAAAACGCGCGCATCGCAAGCCGCACAAAACTGTAGCACCCGCACCGGCAAGAGAGGACACACAGGCCGCCAAACCGCCGCGAAGCCGCGAAGCAGAACAGCGGCGTGAGTGCGAGCGAAGCGGCACGAGAGGAGCCAGACACTGCACGAGAACAGATGACTTAAGCCGTAGTGCGATGCAACAGTGCGATGCGACAGGAATCATAGTAATCAAGAGCCAGAGAGGCAGAGGAGAGGCAGCCGAGACGATAGGGCACGAGCCCGACGGCAGCAACGACACGAGCGACGAGGCGCGGCGAAGGAGCCGGGACAAGGCAGGGCGGTGCGATCAACAAGAGCCTAGCATTAGGTGCGGCCTGCAGAGGCACGGGCTGCGACACGGCCATGGACGAGCAGCACGCGAACGAAAAGAAGGCCCAGGCGGACATGGGCAGAGCGGGAGGGCGATACGCGAGGAGGAGGCGGGAGGGGACAAGGCGCGACTCGGCCGTGGACAGGCAGGAGGGAGTGGGTGCGCAGGCGTGCGCGGCGAGAAGAGAGGCAGAGAGAAGAGAGCGCAGACAGGAGGAGAGAGATGGACCCGCATTTCTCACGACATCAGAGAGGATGAACGAGCACGTGCCACGCCGATTCATCCAGCCCAACATGCGCAGGATGCACAGATAGACGGGTTCGAGACTCCCTCCGCGAGATCGAGTGTCTTTTTTCGCAGTACAGAGAGAGCGGGAGGGCGACCAGACCACACAAGACTGCACGAGATTGCGCGAGGTTGTGCGAGACCACACGAGATTGCGCGAGATTGCACAGGAGGGTGTGAGGTGGCTCGAGATTGCACGAGACCGTACGAGACAGCGCGAGATTGTGTGAGATTGTGCGAAATTGTACGAGATCCGAGATTGCACAAGATTGCACGAGATTGCACGATACCGCACGAGATCGCACGGGATTGCGCGAGAATGCACGAGAGTGCACGAGAGTGCACGACGTTGCGCGAGACTGCACGAGATCGCATACGATTGCACGTGATAGAGCGAGGTTGCGCAAGAAAGTGTGTCTCTGGACGAGATTACGTGAGATTGCGCGAGATTGTGCGAGAATGTGCGAGAATGTGCTTCATCGCGCGAGTTTGCGAGAGATCAATTGAGATCCCCACCGCGAGATTGACGCACGCTAAACGCGCCTTGAGAGACAGACACACACAGATGGGAGCCAAATCCAGGACCCAGGCATGCAGACGCCATTCCTTTATCACCACGTGCCACAATATCCCACCCCGACCAACGCGAGCGGAACGAGATTGGATATCCCCCGCCGGCTTCGCTGATGACTCAGCGAAACGTATCTCTTCTCAACGAGTTTCTTTTCGCGAGCGTGTTAGTATTCGGCGGGCGCAATGCCGCGAGGAAGACCTCCTTAGACGACATGCGCCACAGAGCGACAGCCCGACCAGCCGCGCCAGCGCATGCCGACGCAGGATGAACGAGAGGGGTCGGGGCTGCATGCCAATCACACAGTCAACCACGAGGAGAAGGGGTCCAACACCCTCCACTTCGACACGAGGGCTGCGTCAGAGGAGAGCGACAACCCGAGACAATGAGAGGACAAGCACGGGAGAGGAGCAGAACGAGAGAGGAGCTACCAACGAGCGAGGCGTTCAAAACGACGGCGTTCGCGCGACGGCGTCCGTGAGACGCCCAAAGTTGAGAGTGCAAAGCCTTGCGATACCGCGGCACCGGACCCTCACAGACAATGAGAGGATGCTTGGGAAACGTCGGAGTGCGTGCGAGGAAGGCGACGCAGTCGGAAGGGGACGGCAAAACAGCAAGGCCGATATCAAGAGGATCCGAATATTCGCATACAACCGACCCGGCCAGCACATGGTAAGCAGAGAAAGTGACGTATACAGGAGAAAAGAAACGGGCAATGGGAAGGACCTGGCCACCACACCAAGTGAAGCGATGGCCTGCGTAATCAACATGATGAATGACCATCGCGGCGATCTTGGAGTCATCTCGGAGAGCACGACGACAGAGGACGAGAGAGCTGCAGTGATAGGGAGATGGGATCTTGAGGGGTATGGAACCAGCGTTGCCTGCGGCGAGAGGGAGGGCGACACCGACGCCGACGCCAACACAGGGCAGACAGGAGCAACATCGGGGGCGGGCACGAGCAGCGACCCGCAAAACGCCAAGCGCGGACGCGGGCGAACGAGATGTGGCGTGACCATCGTATGGAACACCGACAAACTCAAAAAAGTTGAACCAGAACAGGAGGTCGACATAATCGCTGCACGAGTGAGGAGGGTGATACTCGAAACACTCGATGGGAAACACCGAATCAGCGTGTACGGCGCGTATATGCCCGATACAGGAAAGAGCAATGACGAAATCGCCAAGGCGTGGAAGGAGCTCAAAGAAGCGATACGACACGACACGCACGAGAGGGTGCTCATCATCGGCGACATGAATGCTGTAACGCGGAAATGGGTGGAGGAAAGAGGGCGGCAAATGGGGACGGCGGACACGGAGATGGAAGACCTGCTAGAGACCGAACAAATGGAGTCGCTGGGCACGGGCGTCGCGACGCACAGGGGGGGAAGGGAGATTGATCACATAATAGTCGACGCGCAGACACGAGCACGAGCAAGCGAGGCGGAGGTCATGCCAGGAGAGAAAGACGATCACAAAATTGTACACGCCGACATCATACTCGCAGAGGAGAACGCCGACGAAGGACAGCACAGGCGGATTGGAGTAAAACTAGACGACTGGGACGAGGCGGAATGGGCGACGTACGTGACTGAGACGGGGTCCATGAAGAATATGTGGCAAATAGGAGGAGAGACGTGGAAAAGGACGGGAGGAGGGAAATCATACATCGAAGAGGCACAGGCTATGATGGAAGCGGCGGCGACGGCGATCCGGAACAAGCGAAAGAAGGGCAAGACGCGAAGAGACGAGGACGGGGACGAGGAGCGGCCAGCGGCGAAGACGCACCGCGCGTCGCTCTGTGAACAGATTGGCCGGTGGTCGAGGCTGGCGGGAGAGGCGGAACGGTACCGAGGGGAGACGGGAGAGGACGCAAACGATATCGGGGACGCAGAACAGCGCAGAATCTACAAGGCACTGTGGCACCACGCAAAATTAAGAAAGGTGATCAAGCGGGAGAGGCACGGAGGCGATGCGGCGAGGGCGCAAGCCGCGCGGGATGCATGCCGACACCATCTGCAGAAAATGAGCAAACGACTTGAGAAGATGGACTCGACGGAGAGGGCGGTGGGGGAGAGAGCGGCGGTGCACGAGCTGGAGCGACTAATAACGACGACAAAGCAAGGACTGATACGAGACGTATTCAGGATACTAAACCGAGCGAGGGGACGCAGGACCGCACGAACGGCGAAGATAACGAGAATCATAGAGAAAGCGCCCCCGCCGCAACAAGGACCGGACATAACGCACGAGGAGCCCGCGGCAGTGAGGGCGGCAGCGGCCAGACACGGAGAGCGGACGCTCAGGGCCGTCCCAGTAGCGACGAGGGTCATGGCGACGCTGATAAAAGAATTACTGCCGCAGAACAGCGATGGCGGCGGCGGCGACACCAGTGGCGCACAGAGTGGGACGGAAGAAGACGAACGAGACGACACGACCAGCGTGGTGGAGAGAGTGTGCTCGTGGGAGAACTTCAAACGAGCCCTCGCAAAGTGCAAGGCCAAGAAGGGAACGGGGAAGGACGGCTTCAACGCGTACCTACTGCTGCGTGCACCAGAGTGGTTGCAACGAGCATACTGGGAAGCGACGATGCGATGCATCCGAACGGAGGAATACCCGGAGGTGTGGAGGGAATGGATCGCGATGCTAACGCTCAAGGCCGGCGGCACAGCGAGTGACATTGCGCAATATAGAGACCTGTGGCTCGTGCCACACGGACAGAAGCTAGTCATGCACATGCTAAGCAACGAGTACGACGAGACAGCGAGAGGGGCAGGGAGGAAAGGGGGAGAGAGGAAGCCAACGCGACGTGCGCAGAGGATGAGGATATAAACTGGGACGACGCAGCGGAGGGGATAGGCGAGGGAATCGAGGGACCGGAGGGCTTTCGCGACAGCGACGATGACGACGAAGAAAGGGGAGGGGACGGAGGGGCGACACGCAGGAGGAGCGAAATCGCTAACGGCCCGAGCAGAGAGGGCGACGGCGGGGCACGAGGGAACAACGGAGACGCTACCGATGACGCGAACCGAGGCACGGACGACGGCGGGGACGGGGAGGGCGACAGCGACGTCGAGGTTGACGCAACCGTATCGAGAGCGCCACCCAAAAAGGGGCGGACAGCCATGGAGGTCACCGAATGGAGGGCGAACGGCACGATGCGAAAAGGCAGGGCGAGGCGGATGGAGAAAGAAGTGCCGAGAAGGCCATGGTGGAAGGGAGGGACGGGAGGACGAAAGAAGGGCGAGGAGGACGAGCGGCCCGCACAGACCGCGAGCAGACAGCGCCTGCTGGCCATTTCGAGACATTCGCCAAGAACGCTAGCTACATGGGAGGGCTTCGTGAAAGATGGATTGAAAAACATTCGAACAAAGAAGAGGCGACGGGAGGAACCGGCGGAGGATGCAGTGACGTGAGACACACACACACACACACACACACACACACACACACACACACACACACACACACACACACACACACACACACACACACACACACACACACACACACACACCGCTCACCCACGCGCACTGGGCCTTGCACTTTGAATGCCGTGGGGCTCCTGTCGTCAGACGTGGAGACGCGAGGGTTGCCCCCCTTGCCCCACCACCTCGTGTGTGTGGAGAAGTTTACCTTACCTTACCTTACCCTCATCCCTCCCTTGGTCGTCTGTTTTTTAGATTTCTTTCTTTCTTTCACTGGCGACTGGCGCGCACTGGCACTAACACAGGTACACCACCCGGGTACCTCAAGGGGGAGAAGGGGCGTGCGGCCGCGAGCCCCTCTACCGCAAAGTGTCGCATGCGAGAGTCAACCGTAACGTATTTTCACCCCTCGAGCGCCCCGATCGCCTCCGTCACCGCGGCCACGAGCCGCGAAGCCTCCCCCTCGCTGCGCGGCCCGTCCCTCCTCCACCTCGCCGCGTCGTGGTGCCTCGCCGCGTTCGCCCAGATGCGCAGCGAGTGCAGCTGCCTCCGCAGCTCGGTCGGCAGGCCGCACTCGCGGTGCCAAAAGTTGATGCGCTCCTCGAAGCCGTCGGGCGCCGCCGCGGAGCGCGAGGCGTACACGGCGTCGAGGCGCGGCATCAGCGTCTTGAAGGCGAGCATCATGTTGTCCTGGATGCGCGCCTGCGCGTCGCCGGACGTGCGCATGCCGCGCACCTGCACCGAGAGCGGCGAAGGCTCGTAGCCGGTGGTGCGGGCGGCGGTGGCGGCCTCGTCTCCAAGTGCCGGCGCAGCCTCCTCCATCCCCGCCCCGCGCTGCGAGCCAGAGAGCAGCGCCTGCAAAGTCGCGAGAGCCTCGGGCAGCGTGGGCCGCTTGCGCAGGCTGTCGTGGCAGAGGCTCTTCCCGTCCGCCTTGGCGAGGTCCTTGACAGCGCGCGCCGCAGTCTCAGGCCACCCCGCCGCCGCGTCTGCGATCCTCGTCACGTCGATGTCGGTCCAGTCCTCCTCGAACTCGTCCTCGCACCGGTCGGTGAGCTGCACCTCTGAACGGTTGGTGAGGCAGACGAGGAGGGTGATGCCAACGGCGTAGCCGTCCGTCTTGCTCGAGTACTCGCCCCCCTTGATGATGGAGGGGCAGAGGTAGCCCGTGGTCATGTAAAGGGCGGCAGTCGAGCGGCAGCGGACAGACGCGTCCGGGCGCTGGTCCTTGGCAAAGCCCGTGTCGGCGAGCACGGCGGTCAGCTTCTCGTCGAGCAGGATGTTGTCTGGCTTGACGTCGCGGTGCACGATGCCCTTCGAGTGGAGGTAGACGAGCGCCTCGGTCGCCTCGCACGCGACACGCACGCGCTGCCGCCACGTCAGCGGCCTCGGCGGCTCCGCCATGCCCAACCGCCGGAGCTGCGCCGCGCAGTCGGGATCCGAGATACGCAGCCGCGCCTCGAGCGAGCCGCCGCGCATCAGCGGCGAGAGGAGGCAGACGCCGTCGGGCGAGAGGCAGTAGCCGAGCAGCGGCAGCAGGTGCGGGTGGCTCACCGCCTTGAGCAGCTTCACCTCGAGCTCTGCCCGCGACAAGCCGCCCGACTGGCCCGACTTTGCCCGCTTGACGACGAGCGGCAAGTGGCGCAGCTGTGGAGGCGCGGCGAGGGAGAGGTGGAGGTCGGCCGACGCCTCGTAGACGTGGCTGAAGCCGCCGCTGCCAATCAGCTTGCCCTCTGCAAACCCGTCCGTAGCCGCGGCGAGGTCCGACAGGGCTATCTCGACGGGCCGAGCAACAACCGCCTCCGGCTCGGTGACAGACAGCTCTTCCAGCCGCGACTCCGCCGCGCTCACCTCCTCGGCCAAGGCAGGCAGCACTCCCACGTGCGGCCTGGCGGCGGCGATGCCCGCTCGGAGCGCGGAGGGGCTGTCCGCGGTGTTGAGCGACTTGAGCGCGCCCATCGCCGCGCCATGCGCCTTGCGCAGCCGCTGGCTGTCCCGCTTCCGCGCCTCCTTGAGCTTGTCGCGCGCGCGCCTCTCCTCAAGCGCCGCCGCAAGCTCCGCCTCCTCCGCCGCCGCCACCACCTCCTCCTCTTCCCCCTCTTCCGCCGGCGCCTCGGCCTCTTGCGACGGCCCAACGCTACCCATGCCGCCCTGCTTCTTCTTCTTGCCCCTCTTCTTGGCCTTCTTCTTGTCCTCGGCGCACTTCTCCGACTCCTCCTCCGCCAGCAGCGCCGCCGCAGCCTCCTCGGCCGCCCTCTCGGCCTCCACCCTCTCGGCCGCCGCCCTCTCGGCCACTGCCCTCTCCACCTTCGCCTCAATCTCCGCTCTCTTCGCCTCCCTCGCCGCCGCCTCAAAGGCGCGCTCGCACTCGGTGTGGCCCTTCTCCTTGGCCAGCTGCAGCGCCGTATGCCCACCCGAGGTGCGCGCCGCCGTGTCTGCGCCCGCCCGCAGCAGGCTGAGCACGACGGCGGAGTGGCCCTCCAGGCACGCAGCGTGCAGGGGCGTCCAGCCGCGGCCTGAGGCTTGGTCGACCGCAGCGCTAGCCTCGAGGAGCAGCCGTGCGATGTCGAGGTGGCCCTTATGGCACGCCTTGTACAGCGGCGTGAAGCCGCCGTCCCTGACTTGGTTGACCGCCGCGTTGGCAGCGAGGAGCAGCCGCACGCACTCGAGCTCGCCCTGCTGGCACGCGACGTACAGCGGCGTGGCGCCGTCGTTCTTGGCTTGGTTGATCGCCGCGCTTGCGCTTAGAAGCAGCCGCACGCACTCTAGCTGGCCCTTCTGGCACGCCATGAACAGCGGCGTGGCGCCACTCTCCTTGGCTTGGTCGACCACCGCGCTTGCGCCGAGCAGCAGCCGGACGCACTCGAGCTGGCCCTCCTGGCACGCCGTGAACAGCGGCGTGGTGCCGTCCGCCTTGGTATGGTTGACCGCCGCTCTGGCCTCGAGGAGCAGCCGGGCGCACTCGAGCTGGCCGTGCTGGCACGCGATGAGCAGCGGCGTGGCGCCACTCTCCTTGGCTTGGTCGACCACCGCGCTTGCGCCGAGCAGCAGCCGGACGCACTCGAGCTGGCCCTTCTGGCACGCGATGAACAGCGGCGTGGCGCCGTCCTTCAGGGCTTGGTTGACACCAGCATCGGCGCCGAGAAGCAGCCGCACGCACTCGAGCTCGCCCTGCTGGCACGCCATGAACAGCGGCGTGGCGCCATCCGTCTTGGCTTGGTTGACCGCCGCGCTGGCCTCGAGAAGCAGCTGGGCGCACTCGAGCTGGCCCCTCTGGCACGCCATGATCAGTGCGGAGCAGCCGTCGCCGGTCGTCGCCCCCACACTCGCGCCGCTCTTGAGCAGCAGCCGCACCGCGTCGGCCTGCCCGCGCTCAGCGGCGATAATCAGCAGCGTGTGCTGGTTTGCGGCCTCGAGGCGCGCGTCGAGCTCGGCCGTGAGCGCTGGGCCGCGCGTCCGCCCGGCGAGGAGGGCGCGCAGCGAGCCCAGGTTGCCCTGGCGAAGCTCGGCGGGCACGACAGTGCTGGCGCCGCTCATATACACACACACATGGCTTGTTAAAATACAAGCCTCTCTCACAGCACACTGAGAGAGAGAGAGAGAGAGAGAGACAGCACACTGGCACGACAAGGGCGCGGACTGGCGCGGACTGGCACACACACCGGCTCACCACCGGAGCCGCCTAAGCGACTCCGTTAAGAACGGCAATGCACTCCGCACCATGCACAATGCCGCTCTCCCCGCACGCTAGCTCGTTCACCGTCTGCCACGCCACGGCGGTGTGGAGGACGACAGACAAGCGCTGCATCTGCAGCCCGTGCCAGTTCTTGGTGGTCCATGTGACCTCGTCCAGGTGCTGAGCGTGCGAAAGTTTGTTGCTCAGCTGGTTCGCCGCCTCCCTCAGGGTGCTGCGAACCTCCTTTCCAAAGCCTCCGAAAGCCTCAAAATCAAACAAACGTAGATCGCAATCCTGCTCCCGCGCAAAGCGGTAATCGCCATCCAGCTGCTGGAGCTTTCCCTTGGGGGCATCCTCCTCCTCCCCCTCCTCCCCCTCCTCCTCGGCCTCCTCCTAGCGAAGAAGAAAAACGGCGTCCGCGCTGCACTTGCCCGCCTTCCCTCAGCCGAATCAACCGCATCTGGCGGAAGAAAAAATAAAGTATAGCGCACTTGGCATCCATGCAAAATCCTGCTCGTGGTCGTGCAGGTGGGGACCACCCTGTCCTCCTCCTTTGGGTTGTCTGTTTTCTTTTTTCGACACTACCCAACATCACAGGTGGGATCAGAGAGAGACTCCACACCGGACACCGCCCGGGCACAGACTCCCTACCCATCGGATCGCACAGGGCCCCCTCGGAGCAGCCCACACACAATCACACACACACACACACACACACACACACACACACACACACACACACACACACACACACACACACACACACACACACACACACACGATAGAGCAATCTAAAATTTGTTCGATTCCGAGTAATCTGTGCTCGCCGAGTGATCTGTGAAAAACAATTTCAGATTCCGACAAATAGAGCAGTCATCTCCAGGGAGAGATGGGCGACGCACACGAACACAGAGGGACAGTGCGCACCCCGCCCCGCTCGCAGGGCGTGTGTGTGTACACACACACACACACACACACACACACACACACACACACACACACACACACACACACACACACACACACACACACACACACACGCAGGGCGTGCATCAAAAGGATACAATTTCTTCTTGTCAACTATATCGCGGTGAACAGCGAACGAGTCCCGCCAAGTGCAAGCGCTGAGGACAGCCAGCCTCAGCACACAGACTCTTCGCGGTGGCGAGAGATGAGCGCGGACGCGCTCCCGTACTGCCCTCCGTCGACGGCGCCAGACCCTCTCGAGACGGAGGTCGCCCAGGCGCGCAAGCTCGTTCTGCGCGCGCTCGACGCCAAGATAGCGATCCAGGATGACGCGACTGCGCTCGGAGCCATCCGGCTCGCGCTCAAGCTGGCGGGCAACATCCTCGAGCACCCGGACGAGGGCAAGTACACGCGGATCAAGAACAGCTCCGCCGCCTTCCAGCGCTGCCTCGCAAAGTGCCCCGGCGGCCTCGAGCTCGTCATGGCGATGGGTTTCCGCACGGTCGTACACGAGTTTGAAGAGTTCTGGGCGGTGGAGGTGTCGCCGCTCGCGCTGAGCATCCTGGCGGCCGCGAGGGAGGGGCTCGCGCGCTACGAATCGCTCGTCGTCGGGCGCGCGGAGAGGGCGCAGCAAGCGCCTCCTCCCCAGGCCTTTCGGAGCCTTCTCGGAACCTTCCTCCCTGTAGGCGGGCGGAGAGGGCGCAGCGAGCGCGGCTCGAGAAGGTGACGGGGAGCAGCGAGCAGCGGGACCGGGTGCGGACGTCCTCCACCGTCAATCCCATGCGCTGTGAACGGCGCCTCTTGACAGCGAGCGGTTGCAAAACAGGAGTCCCTCTAATGTCAGCGGGCAAAGCGTGGAGCTGGGAAAGGCGTCTTCACGGCTGCAGGTGTGAACAGGTGCTCGCGGACATCGAGGCAGACAAGGCGGAGCGGAGGGAGCGAGCAGCGCTCATGAGGCGCGACGTCGACGTGGCGCCGCCGCCGAAAGAGGAGAGGACGGTGGAGGGAGAGAGTGCGTGTCCTGAAGCGTTTGCTCTGTACAGGCATCGCCGCCGCCGCGAGGGGGAGCGGCGAACGGCGAGGCGGGGCGGGAGGGGCTCGAGGGAAAGGAGGCGCAGGCGGAGGCGGAGGCGGAGGCGCACGATCAGGATGCGGAGGGCAATGGCGACGATGCTCCCGCCCTCGATCCCGCACTTGAAGGGTCGGAGGAGTGCGCGCGCCGAAGTGAGGCCGCTTGAACAACGTGTTGAAGCGTACCTGCAGGCGCTCTTACCGAAGCACCGGCTGACGCCACTGCTGGTTCACTGTTACCCGGCTGATTCATATACTCAGGCTGAGTGAACCACCTGGCCCAGAAATCGCAGCGCGGGAAGACTCGCCTGAAGAGGGCTTGAGGGTTGTACCGAGGGTCTCCTCCCGGGTCCTCCGGATGCGTGTCTGCGTTTCGAGGCGAGACTTGTGCGGCGAGTCTCAAGTAAGATCGCACACCAGGTCCGTTTTTCTTTTCTCTCCGTTGTGGCCCCTCAGCGCCGGCTCGCCAACGAGCTCTATACGAGCCGTCCCGGGGCGGCAAAATTGATGCGGCCTGCAGGGACCGAAAGGTCGCCGACCTGATCACGGCTGCCGGCGCCTCGGCGCCGGCCGACGCCGTGTTCGGCGGCAGGTTCGCGACGGGCGAGACGCCCCGCTCGACGACCTCCGCCTCCGAGGCGGACGAGGGCGACGGCGCCGGCGGCGATGGCGGGACCGGCTTCGACCTGTTCGGGCCGGACCCCACCCCCATGGAGGACCTTTGAGGCCCTCCCCAGTCTCACCCCACCTTACCTCTGCCCCCCCCTCCCCCCACCCCTCTGCCTCCCATAGGGCAGGATAGCACTAGCATATGCGCCTAGTGCGCACACTGGGCCTACATAGATGTGACCCGCCCGCTCGAGTGCGGCGTCCGGATGCTAGTGCTTGAGAAGACACCACAAACGCGGCACGGCCCGTTTTGGATGTCTGCGGAGATTCTGCCTTAGCACACACAGTGAGTCATTCGGAGTCATTCGATGGCCAGAGTGCGATTGTGTGTGTGCGGGAGTTGGTTTGTCGGGAGGGAGGGGCAGGCTGCTCACCCACGTGCACCGGGCCAGTGCTTGCACTTTGAATGCCGTGGGGCTCCTGCCCGTGTCCGGGCGTGGAGATGCGAGGGTCGCCCCCCCTTGCCCCACCACTTTGTGTGTGTGGAGAAATCTACCTTACCTTACCTCTGCAAACACTGCATACACCTGGTCACCTGCAGCTGCACAGTCAGAGTCACACCCAGTCAGGAGCGAAGAAAAATGAGTTGTTTTGATAGGATTCGTTTACCCATCTCCTGGTCCGTTTTATTTATTTGTTTATTTGGCATGCGCACCGCCAGACACACCAGACACGATCAGCTCTCAGGTTTGTGTCTGTCCTCGCCAGTTCGTGGCGCGCGCGGGCAACCGACAACCGTCCCTCAGTCCGCCGCGCCGCCGACGGCGGGCCGCCATCGCCCCCTCACACGAGTGCGCTGCTCCCTCCTCCCGCGCTGCGCTGGCTGCTCGCCCCGCCCTGGCCCGCAGCGGCTGTGGCAGCCGCGCCGCGCAACGCCTTGGCTGCGTGGCGCGGGCGGCGCATCTCGGCGGCGCAGCCGGCGCGCAAGTAGGCGGGGAGGGCGCAGGAGAGCGCGACGAGCAGCACGACGAGCGCCGCCGTGGCGGCGTACTGCAGCGGGTCCGGCGCGATCGTGTACCCCGCGAAGATGTAGGCGGTGCGGCCTGCGCCGGTCCGAGTGGCGGCGAGGGCGCGTGTGGAGAAGCGAGAGGGCGAGGCGAGGGGGCGGGGCAGGGCGGGGCAGGGGGAAGCAGAGGCAAGGCGACGGCACAGGGGAGGACACAGCGCCGCTGCTTTGGGGGGGGGGGGGGGGGCGGGGAGACCGAGAGAGTCGGAAAGCAGCACGTCGGCGACCGCGTAGTAGGTCAGCCAGCCAAACGGCGGCTGGACCGCCAGCGCGTGAGTGCCGTTGAGCAGCGAGAGATTGGAGGCGAGGACGTCTGTCCCGTCCTGCAGTGTGGAGACGCCGAGGTCGGGGTGGGACGACGGTCTCGCGCCGTCCACTCGGAGCGCGAGAGCGAGGACTGCGAAGAGAATGGGCGCGGGGTGATGCGGCGGAGTACGCGTCCCCTCGAGTGCCGGTTGGAAGACATGAGTACGGACAGGGGGGAGATATGGGGAGATATGGGGAGAGATGGGGAGGTGTGTCCTCTCGAGTGCTGGTTGGAAGAGGCACGGGTCCGCTAGGCTCGTGCGCCGGGAGGCCAAACGAGAGCGTGAGAGGCGGGTGCAGCAAGTGCAGGTTCTCGCCTACAGTGGCACAACCACTCCTCACCCACGAATGCGTACCACTGCTAATCCATGGTGAGGTAGGCGCGAATGCTCGCCGCGCAATCGGACGGCAGCGCCTCCTCGCCACGTGCCGCGTGCCGGCCAAACCTCGGTCAGCACGGGCCAAATGTCGGCGTCGAGGGCGCAGAGCTCGACCGCGGGCGGGCACTGCAGCACCTCGCCGCCATACCACGACCCAAACGACTCGACAGACTGCCCCACCCACCCCGCAAGCCCGCCCAGCCCTCCCCCTCCCGCCCCCCCTCCGCCTCCGCCCTCCGCCACGCCGCCCGGGGGATGAGGAGGCGGCGGCGGCGGCGGCGCGTGCCTACGCGCTGAGTACGCCAACCTCAGGGCGAGAAGGCGGTCTTGTGCGGTGTATTCAGAGCACCGCGTGAACGCGGTGGGTGCGCACACAGTGAAGAAAGGGGAAGGCGGCTGAATGCAGCTGTATGCGGCGCGCTGCCCTCTCGGAACACATCTCGCGGCGCGCGCCCTCCGCCATGCGCAAGCACGGCCCCCCCCTCTGTCGGACAGCGGCGCCTACGCGGCGACACATCTCGTGCGATCTCCGGCGGTCGGCTGGGCCGCGTTTGGTTGGTTCGCGGCGGCGCGCCAGCGTCCGTTTGCGCGGACCTCGAGAGTGGTTGCGTTGAGGCAGCGCGCCCTGTAGCACGAGGCGACGGAGGAGCCGAAGGAGTCCTCCTTGGAGAAGCAGCGGCACGCCTATCAATTAATTAGTTAGTTAATTAGCTAATTGATTAAGGAGAAGCAGCGGCACGCCTGCGGCATGCATGCGCGGGGGGGCTTGAGGTGTGAAGATGGCCCCGTGCAACGTATTCGGAGCACCGCGTGAGTACGAGGGGTGCAAGTGCAGCGAGTGCAGTCCAATCCGCTCGAGCACAGCGGAGTACGTGTCCTCTCGAGCGCTGCTAGGAGTACATGAATGCGGGGTACTACTACTACAGCGGAGTACGTGTCCTCTCGAGCGCTGCTAGGAGTACATGAATGCGGGGTACTACTACTACAGCGGAGTGCGTGTCCTCTCGAGCGCTGCTAGGAGTACATGAATGCGGGGTACTACTACTACAGCGGAGTGCGTGTCCTCTCGAGCGCTGCTAGGAGTACATGAATGCGGGGTACTACTACTACAGCGGAGCACGTGTCCTCTCGAGCGCTGGCTGCAAGACAAGAATGCGTGTTCCGATTTCTAGGGGCGGCGCGCCTCGCAACGCTCCTCAGAGGTCCGCTCCCAGCCCGCCGCCGCCTCGGCGCAGTTGCCGTTGGCGTACGGGCGGAAGACGGGGCAGTAGTCGAGGAGGACCTTGGGGAGAGATGGGGAGAGAGGGGGAGATATGGGGAGATATGCGTGTGTGTGTGTGTGTGTGTGTGTGTGTGTGTGTGTGTGTGTGTGTGTGTGTGTGTGTGTGTGTGTGTGTGTGTGTGTGTGTGTGTGTGTGTGTGTGTGTGTGTGTGTGTGTGTGTGTGTGTGTGTGTGTGTGTGTGTGTGTGTGTGTGTGTGTGTGTGTGTGTGTGTGTGTGTGTGTGTGTGTGTGTGTGTGTGTGTGTGTGACTTTGAGAGAGGAAAGGGGGACCGAGTAGCCGCCGACGTCGGGCCGGTCCGGAAAGTGCTGCTGGTGCGGCGGCAGCGAGGAGGAGTAGGTTCGCAAGTCGCAGTACACCTAGTGCGGTACATACTGGGGAGATAGGGGGAGATGGGGGGAGATGTAGGGAGGAGTAGGTTCGCAAGCCGCAGTACACCTGATGCAGCACACTGGGGAGTGCGTATACTGGGTCCAGGCTGACCTCCGCCCGCCGGTCGCAGGGGAGATCTGGGGAGATGCTGGGGAGATGTGGGGAGACGCTGGGTCCAGGCTAACCTCCGCCCGCCGGTCGCAGGGGAGATCTGGGGAGATGCTGGGAGATGTGGGGAGACGCTGGGTCCAGGCTGACCTCCGCCCGCCGGTCGCAGGGGAGATCTGGGGAGATGCTGGGAGATGTGGGGAGACGCTGGGTCCAGGCTGACCTCCGCCCGCCGGTCGTACGAGCAGCCCGTCTCGTGCGTCTGCGAGCAGCGGTACCCCGGACGGTGCCAGACCGACGAAGCAACCTCCGAGTCGCACCTGCAGAGGCGAGATCGCCCGAGATCACCGCGAGATCACCCGAGGCCGCGAAGGAGGTGCGGCGCCGCTCACGCACCCCTCGAGCGCAAACGCGCAGCCGCCGCGCGCGCCCCAAGCGAACGGCTCGGCGAGGGAGCCGTCGACGGCGTACCAGCCCGAGTCGGAAAAGACCGCCAGGGTGAGCTCAGAGATGACCCTCACGCCCGGCGACGCGGAGCCTACCGTCAGGAGTGCGGCGAGGTGGGAGGGGTGGTGGTGGTGGTGGTGGGTGGGTGGGTGGCGGGAAGGGAGGGGGGGGGGGGGGGACACGGTCTCGCGCCGAGTCTTCAGGGCACTGCGTGGAGGCACCGGGCTGCGAAGAGAAGGAGGCGCTGCTGTAGACTACCGCGGCGTGCGGCGGCGGAGTGCGTGTCGCCTCGAGGGCGATTCGGGGCCAGCATGTGTGGTGCGATCTCATCGTCCGCTTCTAGGGCGCGGCGCCCGTCATGTACTCGTCCCGGAAGAGTCGCATCTCCCAGTGAGCGCCGCCCGTGCCCGCGCCTCCGCCGTCCTCTAGCGGTGCGCCCTCAAGCTTGGGGCAGTCGAAGTGGTTCCTCGCGACTCGCAGCGCGCGGGGCGTCACGATGGCGCGAGTGCGGCCGCCGCCTGCGACATGGTCGCTCCTCCTTGGCGCGCTGCACGACTGGCTCTCCAGAATTAAAGGGACGGTCAATGAGTCATGCGCTATACTGCACGCGCCGACGGCCGGCAAGAAGGCGGTGGCCGGCTGGCGGTGGAACTGGTCAAAGAGCCCGGGCGAAAAGACTAATGCGTGCGTCATCTCGTGCAGCGCCACGCGGAGGAGGTACCTTCGCCCGCGGCGGGAGGGGCGGGCAGTCGGTGGCGCATTCAGTGCCTTTGAGTGAACTCATCAACCACCCGCCCACGTGCGTGGACGCGATGTCGCTGCTCGGCACTGGCTGGTCGCTACTGTGAACTAACAACTCTTTGACCACGTACGTGGACTCGAAGTCGCTGTTTGGTACGTCCAAATGAACCGGCGACCAGTTGAAATGCGCCGCAATCGGCCGCCCGAATTGGTCCACCTCGCAGTGACCGCTGAAGGCGATGGTGTCCGAGCCCGTCTGCGCCGCAATTGGCCGCGCAGTGACGAAGAAGACAATGTCGGCGCCTAGTAGAACCGTGAAACAGTCATTACACGTTCACCAGCATTAACAATCAGTAATCATCGTGAGCTGGCGCGCCTATGGTGAGCACGCCAACATCAGGGCGGGAATACGGCCACGTGCCGTGTATTCGTAGCACCGTCGATGGCTACGAATGCAGTGAATACGGCTGAATACGGTCGAGTGCAGCCATGTACGTGTCCTCTCGTCGCTCCTTGGAATACAAGAAGGGATTTTCAGCGTCTAGGCTTCGGCGCCCTCGACGCCGGTGGTGGCATACTCGCGCGGCACCTGCTCACAGCACACGGTGCTCTGAAGCGGCGCCGTTCCGTCGCGGCCGGTGGCCGAAGCACGACTCGCGGGAACCGCCACGCCGCCGCTAAAGCCGCAACGAAAGGAGCCGAGCCTGTTCGCAGCGAGATGGTGGGAGAGATCCCTCCCGCAGGCAGCGACGTGTGCACAAGTCCGCACCTTAAATTGCCGACCACGCGCTTCACCGAGAGGGCCTTGGAGAAGAACGCGGCGGCGCGCGGCATGAGCGACTCCTCGAGCGTCGAGCGCTTGACGGGAGTCAGCACCTGCTCCTGGCGGCAGGGCTGGCCGTTCACGAACTCGCCCACGCGGAAGCACGTGTACCCCGGGTCGGACCGCAGCGCGTCCGTGTTGATCACGATGCGCAGCGGCTGCATCCCGCTCGCGTCGCCATCGCCTTCGTCCGGGCCGCTCTTCTCCGGCGGCGGCCCTCCCTCACTGGCCTCGTAGAGCTGGCGCGTGCGCCGGCGCGGCTCGACAGGCTCTCCAAGGTGCTCGTGGATGCAGTTGTGCTCCCGGTGCGCCGGCGCCATCGGCAGCGAACTACCCAAAGAAAAAAGAAAAGAAAGCGCATCGAGGTTCTCGAGGTGGATATCCTTTGGCCGCGTTGGGTAGCCCTGGATGTGAGGCTAATGACTACCGCGTTGGTGTCCAGTCCGAGCCTGGCTGTTCTTCACCTTTCTACCTACCTACCTAATGACTGAGGGCCCAACTTGAGAATCGTGCTTTTTGGGTTGGGTTGGGTTGTGGGCCTGGGTTGGGTTGTTCCGCGTGAGGTTGGGTCGTCGGCGCGAAGGGTGAGGTCTCGACCGCCGCCGCTCACGCCAGCGGACGGCCACTGCCGGTGTTTTTGGCTTCGCCACCGTCCAAGGCGTGCGCCATGCGCTCGCCGACATCGAGCGAGCAACGTGATCGACCGAGCGGCTTGCTGTGTGGTCGCCTTCTTGTGGCTCTCGTCGAGAGCGTTTTGCGTCCCGGCGGGTGGGAGAATGTGTGTCGTCTGAAGTGTCACTGTGTGCGTCACATCGATGTGGATAACAAGCACGGTCGATCCGTCAAAGCGATACACTCGTTCCTATCACGCTGGAAGGCTTGCACGGAGCTCTGTGCCGGCACACAGAAGAGCCGTGCGGCAAGAAGAGCTCGATGGGGAGCGAGAACTGCCAGAGGTGCTCACCCAGGTTTCGGAAGTCCGCCTTGATGCGGTCAGTCCCCCCCAGGTTTGACCGCGCAGCTCGCAAGACTCGTCGAACACTCGTAGCCTTTCTGCGCCTCTGACTCTGCAAGCTATGCGGGAAGAGCAGTTTATTCGCAATATATCGACGAGTTCGAGAGAGCCACAGGCTTTCGCTCGGGAGGGATTGAGTGCGTCGCGACGGACTTCAGGCTACACCTGAAAATCTGACGGTTCTCGCTCCCCATCGAGCTCTTCTTGCCGCACGGCTCTTCTGTGTGCCGGCACAGAGCTCCGTGCAAGCCTTCCAGCGTGATAGGAACGAGTGTATCGCTTTGACGGATCGACCGTGCTTGTTATCCACATCGATGTGACGCACACAGTGACACTTCAGACGACACACATTCTCCCACCCGCCGGGACGCAAAACGCTCTCGACGAGAGCCACAAGAAGGCGGCCACACAGCAAGCCACTCGTCGGACAGACGTGCTCGCTCGATGCCGGCGAGCGCATGGCGCACGCCTTGGACGGTGGCGAAGCCAAAAACACCGGCAGTGGCCGTCCGCTGGCGTGAGCGGCGGCGGTCGAGACCTCACCCTTCGCGCCGACGACCCAACCTCACGCGGAACAACCCAACCCAACCACAACCCAACCCAACACGAAACAACCCAACTCAGAGCACGATTCTCAAATTGGGCCCTCTGACTGCACTCCAAGTGCTCCAAGAACCGCCGTCACCCCCTCGCACGACGACACTAACAAAGGTACACCACGGGAGCCGCCTAAGCGACTCCTGCGAGGACGGCGAGCGGGCTCGTGCTCGGTGCGGCGGCAGCCGGCTCGCTCGCTTGCCCTCTCACCGACGAGCGCGGGCAGACGGCGCTGCTGCGCGCCGTCAAGGCGGAGTTCTCTGCCTCCTGCGCGCTCCTCCTCGCCGACCCTCCCGTCGATGGGTACGCCGACCTCGGCGCGGCCGCTGGCGTCGACGGCGGGACGGGGCCGCCGCCTCTGCGCGTCTCGCCCTTGCACGCGGCCGTCGCGCGCGGCCTCCCCTCGATTGTTGCGATGCTGCTCTCGAGCAGAGCGACGGCGGCGGTCGTCGCACGCGGCTCCTCGCGCGAGGCGTGGGACCGCACCCCGCTCGGCCTCGCCGCGGCCCTCGGCCAGGTGGACTGTGTGCGCGAGCTGTGCTCCTCCAGCGGCGTCGCCACTCTCAACGCGGCGCCCGCCTCGCGGCCGCACTGGACACCGCTGCATGAGGCCGTCTGGGCGGTCCGCACTCACGTCGTCGTCGAGCTGCTGGGCCTCGAGGGCTTGGACGCGACCGCGGGCGACGAGAGCGGCTCCTCGCCCCTCCACGCCGCCGTTCGGTGGGCCGATAGCAGCGACCCGTCCAGTGTCGCTCTTTTCGGGCCGGGCTTCTTAAGCCGGCCTCTGGGCGTCAGCGCGAGCAGCATGGACTCCGCCACTGCCGTGTTGGAGCTGCTGCTCGATCACTGGCGCGAGCGAGGCCACTCCCTCGACCTCGAGGACTGCGCGGGATGCACGCCGTTGTGCTACGCGGCGGCGGCGGCTGCTGCAGCCGCCGCTTCTGGCTCCGCCGCTGGGTCCCCTTGCTGCGGTGGCGAGGGGGAGGGCGCCGGTGCTTCGCTCGAGCCATTGCGGAAGAGGGTGTCAGCGCTGCTGCGGCACCGCGCCGCCGCAGCTGGTCTGGGCGACGCTTTGCGTCCCGACGGCTTTGTGCCGCTTGCCCGCCTCTGCGCGTCCTTGGGGGCGAGTGAGAGGTCGGTCCGCACCGTCGTCGCGACCGACGCCAAGCAGCGCTTCGCGATCCGCGAGGACGGCGGCGCACCGCTCATCCGAGCCAACTGGGGGCACACGATGGCGGCGATCGACGCCTCGCGCCTGTGCCCGCCCAGCCTCATGCCACCGCTCGACGAGGACGAGCTCGCGCGGCTCTCTGCGGTCCTCACGGCTGCTCGTCGGAGACGCCGCATTGCGAGTGGGCGCTCATGCTGCTCCGCCGCGGCGCTCGCGGCTGCGCGCGCCATGCAGCCGCTCCCTTCATCGTGCGGCTCCGCGAGCGGAGCGGCGGCCCGGTCGCTTCATCGTGCGGCTGCGCGTGCCCGCCGCGGTTTGCGCCGAGGATCGACCGCCGCCCGCCGATCGTGGAGCCAAAGGGCGGGCCGACGGCGGCGCGCCCACCGTCGCCCCTCTGCCTGTCGCTGGGAGCGCCTGGAACTTTGAGCACAGCTCTGTCGGTTACGTGAGCGACAGCGAGTACGTGGGTGTTTTAGCGCGGAGTACGAGAGTCACATTTTAAACGTCAGCAGTTTTTTATATGTGACACGCCGCGTCGCGCGTGCTCACGCAGGACGCAGCTAGTAGCTAGACACTCAATCTATGGCGACCGGTGGAAAAGCCGGCGCCAATTGCGCATTTAAGGGGCGTGGACCGCCGTGCGAGTGGGGAGCCGCCCCAGCCTGCGTCGCACCCACCACCAGCGGCGGCCTCGCCGGCTACCCTCCCTGCCCCTCGGCACCGTCCGCCGCCGCCAGAGCCGGCGCCAGAGCGGCCGCGGCGTGCTCGAGGAGGGCGAGGAGGGCGACGAGGGAAATGGACGTACAGGACTGAAAGTACTCGTCTCAAAGATGCTGATTGCTAGAACTGCCGTCTGGTGCAATTTCGACCACGGTTGGGTGGGCAGCCTCGCTCTCGCACTGCGCCACGGCCTCCTGTACCAGCGAATCGAGCTCTCGCAGCTTGTACAACTGCAGCTCCTTGTCGGCCTGGTTCGTGACGGTCACATCCGGGCTCGCGAGCGTGTCGATCGCCTCGTCCACGCTGCGACTCGCCCACCTATGCGGTAGGTTGTCAATGCGGAAGTGACAGACGAGGGCCTGGGCTTCCGCAGGTCTTCAGAGCGGCGTTCACATCATGATGAGCTCGGACGCCATGCCCTCCGTGGCCTGGTGGATAGGGACGACGGTGCAGCGCCGCTCTGCGGCGGGCGCCGGCCCGAGGCCGCCTCCTGAGGCCGCCTGCATGCTGCACCACGCCTCGAATTGCGTCCTAGAGCGTGGAGAGGAGGGCGAGAAACGGTCTAGAGAGGCGAAGAGTGGGAAAGTTGGCCGTGGAGCGCGCGCACCAGAAGCGGGAGAGGTAAGAGAGCTCCTGCAGAATGAGGACGGAGCAGCCGAGGTACAGCAGGTTGACCTACGGAGACACGCTGCGAAATGGTATTGCTGCTCGCAAGAGCAGGCCTATACGCAAGAGCAAGGCGAACATTCTGCAGCATCCTCTTGAAGTCGACTTTCTCGGTCGGAGTTCGATTGCCCTGCGGCATGCACCTGTTGGGGGAGGGCGGAGGGTTGCATATACGTGGGGGCGATGCCACGCGATCGCATGGGGCAGCTCACCAGTAGTCGTACCAGACGAAGCTCACCTCGAGGCCGGCCGGGCTCTGAAGGTACTCGCGGATCGCCCGCAGCTGGGCGCCGCTCGCGTCGGGTGCGTCGGGCTGCTCCCAGCGGTGGCTCACGGCGAGGATGCTGCCTCGGTACGCGTGGCGGCCATATGCGAGGTGCCGCTTGAGCACTCGCCGCTGGATCCACTCCGGGTGCGCTGCCTGCATCTCCTGCAGCCGCGGCAGCGTTGTCTTGTAGCCAGCCTCTTCGAACTGCCCGGAGCGGATCACGTCTGCGTCGAGGAAGAGGAAGGTGCACTGCACGCCTTGCATCTCCAGCGCGGCGTCTGCGAGCGCGCGATTTGTCTCCTCTAGCACCTGGTTGCGCTCGCGCCGCCGCTTGGCAGCGATGGCGCCGATCACGGCTGCGAGCACGACAAAGAGACAGGTCGTGCCAAAGGTGAAAATGAGCATGGTGATCGCAATCCAATCGTCACTGCTGAAGCCAAAGAGGGCGATGGCCTCGGAGCGATCCTCGATGCCGAGGAAGATGGAGCACCAGCCAGCCAAGACGAAGTTGGCGAGGAGCACAAGATTTGTTGCCTGCGCGAAGGGGGGAGGGGGGGGGGGGGGTCGAGTGAAGGGGTATTCATGAGCGTGTGAACACCGTCGGCAAGCGTGTCTGTGGTTTTCGTAGCAAGTAACGGTTTTCGAACCACGGCCAGCGCATAGTCCTCAAACTTTCGATACGGTTGCGTTGCCGCAAGCGCCGTCAAGTAGCAGGAAGAGAGCAGGACCGCCACCACGAGTCGAAGAAAGGCGCGCTCCTCAGGGATCATCAGCACAATGCCGTTGAGAATCAGCTTGCGCGACAGCTCCAGCGCTTCCCACCAGAAGAAGGTCGTGGTGTACTCCTGGTGTAGGAACGCCGTGGCCCGCGTCAGCGGGGACGAGATCTTGGCACGCAGCGGCTTGTAGCAAGCAGTGAGCAGCGAAATGTACAGGATCAGTGAGCCACCCACCCATACGCTGGAGAAAACGCCAGCGCGTTCGATGTTGGACCTGTAGGCATCGGTGTTGCACTCGATGCTCGGGTCACGGCGCAAGTAGCTGATCATGTTGTCGTCCTGCCCGGGATCATCATACGCCTGCGTGGGAAGAGGGGTTGAGAAGACATCGAGTTGGCATGGGAGCGGGGGCAGGGTCGCCTGGCACAGCCACGCGCCAAAGATCCACGCGTTGACCCCCGGCACAAGTAGGAAGACGAGCACAAGGCTGACTGGCAGAAACTCGAGGAGGCCGAGTCTCGCCTCGCTCAGCCAGAGCTTCTGGTGTGGCGGGGGCGCGACGTGCCAGCGATAAGCTCGCAGCCCGACTCCCGTGAGCAAGAGCAACGCTATGAGACACACGGGAAGGAGCGTGACGGCGACGAGCTGGGGTCCACATTGGACCGGGAGAAAAGCCTTGGCCCAGTTGAGCGAAACCCAGTCGTTGAGCTTGTAGGTTGGTGACGTGAACTCTTCCGGGAGCCGCGCTGAGTAGGTGACGTCAAGAACCAGCGCTACTTGATAGAACCCGAGCAGGATCTTGAGCTTTGCCGTAAGGCTGAACGTGGCGAATGCGGCGACTGCGCGGTCGGCGAAGCGGAGAAGAGGGCCGATGCATGGCTTGCGTCGCAACATTGTCGTTGAGTAGACCCACCCCGCGATGGCGCACGAGACAAAAAGGCCAACGAAGAGGGCGGCGATGTTGCCCACCATCACCCCGACTGAGGGACACTTCTCGCAAGTGCCGCTATCACTTAGGTGGCTGTTATTGGCGCAAAGCTGGCACTCGGGGCCGGTGAAACCTGCTGCGCAGTAGCCATCGCCGTTCTTTCCCGCCTCGGAGCCGCCGACGCACCGCCTATTTCCCGCCCCCCCAAAGTCGCGGCACTTGTAAAGCACGGCACTCTTGTCACTAGCGCGCCAAAAGCCCGGGAGAAGATCGATGGTTTCGATGGTGCTGTTGGCTGCACATTCGGCGTTGTTTGGGCAGCTTCTGCACTGCGGCTCGCCATCGTTATTCGTGTCGATTAAGTAATAGCCGTCTGTGCAAAATGGACACGTTACGCTGCCGTCAGTGCTGGAAAGAGGATGCTTGCACAATCTGCACTCCGACTCAGACGTGCTGTAGAAGCCCGGTCGGCACTTGATGCATTCCTTCGCGCCAGGACCGTCTGTCGACCAGCCCTCAGGGCACGCCAAGCAGAATCCCTGGCCGCTGGCGTTCGAGTACGTCCCGGCTCTGCACGGTCGGCAAGTCGCCGCGCTGGTTTGCGCAGTGTCGCCCGAGTAGGTGCCGGCAGGGCAGTCGTCACAGGCCTCAGCCGAGGCGAGGCCAGACTTGTTCGACCACGTCCCGACCGGGCATCTCTTGCAAAGGCCGAAGTCGACCGCGCCGCTGTAGGTGCCCGGGTCGCACTTGGTGCACCTCGAGGCGCCAACCGGCGACGACTCGCCAGGAGGACAGGTTTCACACTGCCCGGAGCCGGCCGCCGAGTAGGTCCCAGCGCGGCAGGGCTTGCATGCATCGCTGCTGTTGCTACCCGTGGCCGCTCCAAAGGTGCCGGCAGGGCAGTCGTCACAGGCCTCGGCCGACGCGAGGCCAGACTTGTTCGACCACGTCCCGACCGGGCATCTCTTGCAAAGGCCGAAGTCGACCGCGCCGCTGTAGGTGCCCGGGTCGCACTTGGTGCACCTCGAGGCGCCAACCGGCGACGACTCGCCAGGAGGACAAGTGTCGCACTGCCCGGAGCCGGCCGCCGAGTAAGTCCCAGCGCGGCAGGGCTCACAGGCGTCCGAGCTGTTCTCGCCCGTCGATGACCCGAAGCTGCCGGCGGCGCAGGGCGTGCAGTCGCCGGCCGAGGCGAGGCCAGGCTTGTTCGACCACGTCCCGACCGGGCAGCGCTTGCAAATGCCAAAGTCGTCGGCGCCGCTGTAGGTGCCCGGCGCGCACTCGTGGCACTCGGACGCGCCGGACTCGGAGGACGAGCCCTCGCCACACGCCAAGCAGAATCCCTGGCCGCTGGCGTTCGAGTACGTCCCGGCTCTGCACGGTCGGCAAGTCGATTCATCCTGCGCGCCAATCGCCACGCTGAATGTGCCAGCAGGACAAGACGTGCAGTTTCTCGTCGAGCCGAGCCTGCCGCCGGGGCCGTACGTGCCGGGGCCGCACTCGACGCAGTTCGGGACAGCTGTCGTCCACCTCAGTGAGACGACGAGCATGGACGTCAGCAGGGAGATGTCCTTCATGTTTGCGTAGGAGCCGAGCACGAGAAATCAGCTCGCCGGTGAAGGCAGTGGGGGGCGCCCAGTAGGGCGCCGGCACCCCAGCGTAGAGGGCCTCGTGTAGCCCTCCCTTTGGTATCAATAAATCAGCTTCACAAGAGTAGATTTAGTGCACACACACAACAGAGATTTTTCTTTTTCTTTTGAGCTGGGTGTGCCGCCGCGCGGCGCTCGCGCGGCGGGCGGCGGTGTGGGTGTGTGTGTGTGTGTGGGGGGGGGGGGGGTCGGGGGCGCGCAGGACAGAGGCTCGACGATCATCGGCTCGCCGAGGGGGGAACGAGGAGGGGGGATGGGCGGTCGGCGTCGGGGTAGAAGCAACAGGGCGTACGGGGTAGCCGTCACTTTCCTGCCTCAAAAGGGCGGGGCTGTCCCGGAAAGTGAGAGACGCCGGGCAGCGTGGCGCATCATCGAAACCTCCCATACGTATTCGTGGCTCCTCCTTCGCTGTCCCATCTCCTCATCTCTTTCCCACCCAGGCGGGTCGGGGGTCGGGGGGGCGGCGGGGGGGTGCTGGGTGCGGTGCGGTGCGTGCAATCGTGTGTTTGGCGTCATGTTGTGTGTGCCTTCGCTTGTTTCTATTAACAACGAAGTCTAGCTCAAAAGAACAAGGAGCCCCGCGCGCCATCACGCTCCTCTAAATTTATGGTTGACCGCGTGCCGGCCAACATTCCGGCGACTGCGCGTGGATGGAGCAAAACGGCGTGCGTGGGGCACTTGGGAGAGGCGCGATCTTGCAGAAACATTGTCATTGCTAGGTTCAGGTTGAGGCGTGACATTTGGGTACAAGGCCAACCGACCATGTGCATCAAGAAGCGCTGCAGCTCCTAGTGGCAGGCAACCGCGGCACACGCTCGGCAGGGTATCGCGTCTCGCTCGGGCGGTGCGGCCGACGCGGCGCCGCGCCTGCTCGGAGCAATCGTAGCCTCGGTCGCCGCCGCTCGCGGGCACAAACATCTTGAGCAAAAGGAATCGACGCGATGTACAAATCGACGCAGACGAGAGCAGGGCAGACCCGGGGACTGGGGAGCCGGAGCAGACGGCGTCGGCCGCCGAGGGAACGTTGGGAAGAGGCACGAGGAGGGCGGCGACCTCAACCGACTATGGAGGGCCCGTCAGCAGACGACGCAGGGCAGACGACGGTGAGGCGGAGCAGTCGCGCAGGGCGAGACGAGGGGCAGGACTTTGCGGAGATCAGCAGGAGGATGTACGAAAAGATTAGGAGCACGCGGGACCCGAGGGACCATGTGGAAGACGGCTAGTAAGTGCTAGTCCCCCATCGGGAGGACGACCCCGGCTAGTCGCCGACCACACCCACAAAGAACCCTGCACAAAGATCGCACGAGCGGGGACCTGTTCCTTTTTACCCATCTCACAGTACACAGAGTAGAGGTGTCCGTTTTTATTTATTTGTCTATGGCGCGCTCTGGGCGCCGCGCGCGCCGCATGCGCCTTGCGCGGGGGTAAACCGGTACCACGCTGATCGCTGTATTTTACGCTTACGCGGGTTCGCGGCTCTCCTTTAGAGTTTAGTCTCAGTTTGGTGGGGGGTGGGTCGAGCTAAACAACGGGTGGAGAAACACACGGGCGAGGAGGGGAGGAGGTGGGAGCAAGAGCAAGCCGACGGCATGCGCCAGCGGCTGCCGCTGCGGCGGGTGGCGCGCATCTAGAACGGGTTCCAGCCCGACCCCATCGAATTCCACCCCTTTCGCTCGAAAATCTCCTCGCTGGCGCTCGCCTTGCGGAATCCCGTCTCCTTGGCCGCCCGCGACGCCGCCCTCGCCGACCGCGTCTCGGCATTTGCGGGCCGCTCGCCGCGAGGCAGCGGCGGCGGCGTCAGCTCGAGCTCGCCAACCTCCGAGTTGAGGTTGCGCGACGGCCGGACTCCTAGCCCGGCCCACTTTGCCTCGTGCGCCTGCAACGGTGTGAAGACCACGGCGTGAATACACCGAGGTCGGGGTGGGAAGACGATCTCGGGCGGTGATCTCGGCGCGCGAGATTCGACTACCTCGGCGCCATCTCGGCGCCATCTCGGCTCTCTCTGCGCGCCATGATCTCCGCTAGCGAGGGGAGCATCGTGGCGATGCGGCCGTTGAAGGGCGCGAGGTCGCGCAACGTCCAGCCCTGCCTCAGCAGGTGGAGGCGGATGCGCAACGCAACCTCCCCGCCGAGCCTCCTCTGGCACGCGTCGAACATCGTGCTGATCAGCGCCGTGTCGGGCCGGATGCCGCGCGCGTGCATCTCTGCCCACAGATGCAGCGCGCGCACCGCCGCCTGCGAGGTGTCCCTCGCAACCAGCGGGTTGATGAGTGTGGCAAAGGTCACCTAAGGTAAGGTAAGGTAAGGTAAGGTGAGGTAAGGGAAACGTCTCCGCACACACAAAGTGGTGGGGCAAGGGGGGGCGACCCTCGCATCTCCACGCCCGGGACACGGGCGGGAGCCCTCGCACGGCATTCAAAGTGCAAGCACCGGCCCGGTGCACGTGGCTCGTGGGTGCGCAGCCTGCCCCTCCCTCCCGACAAACCGACTCACCTTGTCGATGGTCGCGTTCAGGAGCGGGGAGCGCTTCGCCTCTTGGAACGCCTGCAGCGCCTGCGTCAGCTGGCCGCACCGCGCGCACGCGTCGATCCACGAGTTGAGCGCGACGGCGTCCACCTGAGACGGTGGGGAGATCGGGGGAGATAGGGGGAGAAAGGGATCCACGAGTTGCGCGACGGCGTTCACCTCGAGATATGGGGAGATATGGGGAGATGTGGGGAGATGCGGACGCCTGGTTCGCCGCGCTGAGCAGCTCCCACATGCGTCGCGCCTGCAGGAAACGTCCAGGAAGGGTCCAGGAAAGGTCCGGGAAAGGTCCAGGAAAGGGCAGCTCCCACAATGCGGCGCGCCTGCGGCAGCTGCCGCGCCCGCCCGTATCCGGCGAGCAAGATGGAGAGCGAATACGCGTCCGGGGGCGCCGCGCGATGCCCGTCCATCGCGTTGAGCACCCGCCGCGCCGTCTCCAGGTCGCCCACGTCCACCAGCGCCGCGAGGAGCGCGTTGCATACGCGCGTCGGCACCCGCCGCCGCGCGCCGCCGCCGCCGCGCGCAGCGACGGCGGCCGCCGCAAGGCCGGCGAAGCGGCGCGCGGCGTCGATTGTGAGGGAGCGGCTGCGGCGGTGGGGCGGCATGCCCCCCACCAAGGACGCTCGCGGCCCAGTCGCCGCCATCAGCGCGCCCTGCCGCTGGACCGTGTACCGAACCACCTATGAGACCAAACCCTGGCTCCGCACCGCCCACCGCACGAGGCTTGGAGGCTTGGAGGCTCGGAGGGACAAGCAAGCCACCCGACTGCTCCCCAGGGTGACCTCTGGCAAGCGAGATGGGAACACCGCCAGGGGGGGGGGGTACGGGGGGGCGGGGGGGCGTACTGTCATGAGTCCTCCCAGAGGATGCCAGGGACCAATGATGTGTACTACCGACCACCTCGGTCAAGTCCGGGCGCGGAGGCTTGCACAACCCCACAATCATCGCGCACTCCACGTCGTGCAGGAAAGACGCGCTGTCGGTGACCCGCCAATCGCCGCCGCCCCTACCGCCACCGCCGCCGCCGCCGCCGCTGCCGCCGCCGTCGCGGCCGCCGCCGCGGCCTGGGGCCGTCGCCCCATCGCGAAGCAACTGCCCCACGTGCTGCGCGGCCTAGCGTTGCCGCGCTCGAAGCAAGCCGTGAGCAAGGGGGTTGCGGTGAACGAATTCGGCTGCACGCCCGCACGCACCTACAGGGGCGAACGAAGGCGGCGGTATGCCCGGC